TTCATCACGAAGAACTGGCAGGTGGATAATCCAACGTTGGGAATCCATCATCCGTTTACGAAGTCGTTGAGGAAGCGGAAAAGCCTTCAGCCTTCAAGTGTTCCCAGCCTTCATCTAGGTTAACACCCTGACACAGAGGGTCCAACATTGAGTCGGGAAGCTCCTTCATGAACGATCCCTGCATAGCCTTCCACAGGTCCTTTGCCAGGCCACCACCCAGGTACTTCCTCACGTAGCTCGTCCAAGGAAGCTTCTCCTCGCGAACCAAATAATCCAACTTCGCCATCAGCAACGAGATGCCCTCCTTGAACTCAGACAGCTTGCGCTCCTCGATCTCACTCACCAGCTTCGCGGCCTGTTCCTGAGCCAACTCGGGACACCCCCCTTTCAAAGAGGTCTTCAGCTCGCCCCAAACGGGATGAACAACTCTGAACATCCCTCGTTTCCAAGTTACTTCGCATCCTGCTCTCACAAGCTCTGCCATTGGTAAAATCGGCTGCGTATCCGGCGAGGTAGACAAGATAGCTCCGGACTCAGCCTGCAAGAGGTTGCGCTTCTCATCATTCGCCAAGGTGACCATCACCTTCGTCGCCGAGGCCAGCTCATTCTCATCGCGAGGTTGCCGAAGTATATGAGTAGCTCCGGAATCAATCAACGTCGGGATAGATTCACCATTCACTCTCTCGTCCAAAGGAACTCGCTGATTCTTCTTCATCACAGCTGACTCCTCGGACACCCTCAAAGCCTTCAATCTCAGCTCATCCAGCTGCTTTTGCAAGCTCTCCAAGGATGTGGTAGTCGAGGACGAGGTGGCTGGCGCAGCTCCCATCATCGACTTCGGTGCCTGAGCTGCTTCACGAAGAGCATCTTTGACCTCACCTGAGCTGGCGTTGGCTTGACCCTCGGTGCTTGTAGTAGGTGAGGTTGGGGCAGGCGGCTGTGGTTCCGGCTCAGCAACCATTGCCCTTGCCGCTGCACTTCCGCCCGATCGTGCTCCATCCTCCTTGGTTGTTGGGGTCGTGGGCGCACTTTTGGGTTTCGCGTTTGCCTTCGCCTTCTCACTGGATTGGTCGGCGGGTTCTTTCTTGGTGGGGCGAGCGCTCGAAACATGTCCTTCAGCTCCACAAGTGTAGCAACGATTCTTCTTCGAGACACCCTCAAAGGAGTGGACAAACTTGCCCGAAGCTCCCCTTCTACACCCACCTGGCTCTGTGAACCACTTGCATCGTTTTTCTCCTCCAACACCTTGAGGCGCACCTGAGGTCGTAGTCGAGGTTGTCGTTGGCGAAGGTTTCGGCTGTAGGGCTCCTTGCTGCAAAGGGCGAAGCTTTGGATCACGCTGCTCCGGGGCACTAGGCGCAGGGACCATTGTCGTTGTCGAAAGTCCATTGACCGTGCTTTCTGCTTCGGCTCGAAGGTGTTGATGTAGTTGGAGCGCCGGGATAAACATCCACCCCCAGCCGGCTCTTGACAAGCTGAGTCCGAAACATCACGTTCGGATCCTTGGCCCATAGCTCCATGGTGAGGGCATTCAGTCCCCTCACCAACAGAGAAGGATCTGGCTTCGCAATGTTCAGATTGTCGGCTCTCAACAACATCCTTTCCCACTTTCGCAGCACCGAAACCATCTCAACGGGGCCCTTTGCCTTTGGAGGTACTGGAGGATATAAGCCTTCTCGCTTTCGCCTCCTGGTTGATACATGGTAAACAGGCGAAAGAGCAAAGCCACAGGGCTTCGCGCGATAACGCGAGCCACCATCTCAGCCCGAACCGGTTCCGCCATCGCCTGAAGCATCACTCCTGCCGTCCTCGCGCTCAGCCTCGAGTACTTCCCATTCTCAAGGTCGGTGGCCGAGGGAGGTTTAAGGGCTAGCCTTTCGTAGGGTCCTGAAGCCACCCATCGTCTGTAACTGTCTTGAGCTACCACCACGAACTGCTGTCCGAAATGTCCCTCAGTGGGCCATCAATGACCTCCACCCAGTCCTGAAGGGTCACCGCGCTCTCGTTCCCGTTGGGCGCGGCCAAAGCTGGGAGGCTCGTCACTCCAGGCTTGCACAGCTCTGGAGACTCATCAAGTTGTCTCTTCAAGCTGAGCCTTCTGCAGCTGCTGCACCCCTTCAGCCAGGGTCTCAAGAAGCCGTTCGCTGGTGGACCTTGGCACTGCAGCTTCAGCAACTTCCCCGATAGCGTCATTGCTCCCGGAAGTCCTCAAAGCGGCTGTTGTCCCATAGGTAGTAGGCCCCCTCGACTCACATCTTGTAGCACTGATGTCCGGCCCATAAACCGTGGGTGGCCCCGCTGGAGGCCTCAATTCACCGCCAGGTTCTCCATCAACACGGGGACGAACGTTTCTCGCATCTTGAGGCATTGGGCTCCCAGAAACCCCAATGCCCGTCACCCTCTTGAGATCATTCGACAACACCGGAGCATTGGCATAGTCTCCATGAACATCGCATACTGGTAGCTGAGCATCCTGTTGAAGAGGGCCTCAACGTCGCTGACCCATCCACTGGCTAGGCATAACAACTCGGGACCCATCCACTGGCTGGCTAGGATCAAAAAACCCACCACGAGGATCACCATGATGCCGACGACCATCGTTGACTACTTGTCTTGTGCTGGTAGCCCACCGTGAGGATCACCATGATGCCGAGGACCATCGCGAACTTCTCGTTGAGGTAACCCACCACGAGAATCACCATGATGCAGACGACCATCGCGAACTTCTTGTCCGAGTAGCCCACCACCACGAGGATCACCATGATGCCGAAGACCATCGCAAACTTCTTCTTGCGGTAGCCCACCACGAGGATCACCATGATGCCGAGGACCATCGCGAACTTCTTGTTGCGGTAGCCCACCACCACGAGGATCACCATGATGCCAAGGACCATCGTTGACTTCTTGTCCGAGTAGCCCACCACCACGAGGATCACCATGATGCCGAGGACCATCGCGAACTTCTTGTTGCGGTAGCCCACCACCACGAGGATCACCATGATGCCGAGGACCATCATTGCCTTCTTGTGTAGCCATCAACCTTTCCCTCTCGGCCCTCAAGAACTCAATCTCATTACGCATCACATTCATCTGGTAGGCCTGTGAACGCATAAATCCCTCCATCTGACGCTGCACTTCGGCTTGGACCTCAGATGATCCCGTAGTAGAGTTTTATTGGGAAGTAGAACTCCTGCCGTAGAGCCACGGTGCACGTTGAGTGAAGTTCATCATCTGCTCCCAAGCCTCTCTCGAGAAAAGTGGAGGCTCATGAGGCTGCTGTTGGCCTTGGTAAGAGGAGGCGAGAACACCAGAGGAGATCCTTGCGTAGATCCCGGTCTGACTGCTGCTGCGGTGTGTGTTGCTCGAGGTGGAGTGCTTGCTGGTGTAAGTGCTGGTGGCATGGCTCGTGAATGTCGGGGCCCCTGNNCGTATTAAACCCAACCGAACCAAACACGGACTAGCCTTGCGTAGTCAGAAACTCATTCAACCTCGAAATCCAACGTACAACAGTGAGCGATGAAGTGTTTCGCTGAACCTCCACATCCGCCCTCACAGCATAAACATGACCGTCCTCCAAACACATAGCAGCCAAAGAGGCCTGGCCTGCTGTTGGAGACTGCTCAGTACTCACAAGCTGAACAGAACTTCCCATCTGATGGCTCCCCGCAGCTTGAATCTGCAGTCCAGAACCACTTGCCTGATCCTGGGAAATCGCGACTCCCTCCGCAATAGAGGGGTTTACATGTCCCTCACCATGTCTTGGCACTAGCGTCGCCTGGGGAACTGCAGGGCTCACACCATTCGGCAGCCCTTCCACAGCTCCATACGCAGCCTCAGCCCTCAGCAGAGGATCTCTTCGCGCAGCGGCAGCGTTTGGGCTCATCACCTGAAGAGCTGAGCCCTCCCGCTCTTCAGCCTCGGCCTGCATATGAAAACGACGCCTCCTCAGTATCGTTCCGAATTTATCGGATGATCCCCAAGGATCCCTGAAAGACCATGGCACAGCGGACGAAACCCTCTTTTACGGCACAACAGAAAACATGTCAGCAAGGCTTTTGTGCACACATGCTGCTGTCCTGCTAAGTTACTGAAGCTGGCTTCTGCCGGGAATGGCAAGCTCGTGAAGCTGGCTTCTGCCCGGAAGGGCAAACTCGGCTCCTTGAACCACTCCGCTCCAGTAGTAACCGTCGTCGTCGTCGTAGTAGTAGTAGTAGTAGTATTAGTAGTAGTACTAGTACTAGTACTAGTACTAGTACCAGTACTGGCGGTGGTAGTCGCAGCAGCAGTAGTGGTAATACTGGTGGTTTTAGCAGCAGTAGCAGCAGCAGCAGAAGTAGTAGTAATAGGAGTAGCAGTAGTAGTAGCAGTAGTAGTAGTAGCAGTAGTAGTAGTAGTAGTAGCAGCAGCAGCAGTAGTAGTGGTAGTAGCAGGAGGAGGAGTAGTAGTCGTAGTAGCAGTAGTAGCAGTAGTCGTCGTCGTCGTCGTCGTAGTAGTAGTAGTAGTAGGAGGTAGTAGTAGTAGTCGTAGTAGTCGTCGTCGTCGTCGTCGTAGTAGTAGTAGTGGAAGAAAAGAATAGGTTTAGGGTTTAGGGTTTAGGATTTAGGGTTTGGGGTTTAGGGTGTCTTCCTGCGAGGGGTTGAGTATCCATGCACCGATGGCGCCACCCCACTTTCAGGGATCTGTGGGTGGCGGCGCATCTTGCGCCCAGCGACCCAAGCACGATGTCGTTAAAGAATCCATTGCAATTGGGATTTTTTCAATTTTCCCACCCGCTGTGAGAAGTCACAGGCTACCACCCAAATTACTTCCTGTTAGGGTTTAGGGCTGCGGCCTCAATTCCCACCTCAAGATGCAGCGCCTCCTGGAAGGGCATGGAAGGGCCTTTCTGGTTTGTGGTGGGGTGGAGGCCAAGAATGGCCTGGGGGGGTCCTTTTTCTGGGAGGGCCACCCTGGACGTCCTTCTCGAAATTTGGGGTGTCGGGCTTAGGGATTTTTATCAAGGAGAAAATCAATGTATATTGTAAGGATTTGGCCCACAGAGGTGGCAGGGGGCAGAGCTGTGCCTCCCGATGTATGGGAAGAGTCCGGGGGGGGGTCTATTCGTCCATTCTCCAAATGCTCCTCCCATTGTCTGACCCAGTACGGGTGTAAAGGCTGACGTGTTTCTTCAGCGTCTGACCCCACCCTAGTAATGGGTGGGAACGGCCCAAGCAGGCCGGGTGGGAATTTAGGGTTTAGGTGTTGGGCATGGCAAGTCCACTGAATAGATACCTTTCGCCAGAAATACCTTACTTTCGCGGCAACATCGCGAAACTTTCGCGAAGCATATGTGGCTACGGAGTTATCTTTTCATACAAATTCTGCATGGGTCAACTATCATGAGATGTATATGTATTCATATATGTAATTAAGATTGGTACATATCTGTACGTGTATATTAATTAATTATATAAATATATATATATATATTTGTATGTATGCGACATCCTGTGGCTGGCTACACAGTCTCAGGCCCTGGCACCCGAGGTATCGTGCCTTCGTGATGCTAGATTCGTCCTTAAACTTTGCCCGCACCGCGAGTCGGCGACCCTGAGCAGCAGCACGACAATGCTGACTACGGAAATAATCATGGCAAGACGAAGCCTGGTTGCTGATGCATTACCGGAGTGAGCATCAGACCCAATATTCTGAGTACCAGGCCTTTATCTTCGAACCCGCCTGCTCAGCTCACGCTGATACTGATGACTTCTGATCAGTATCAACATAGGAATGGAAAACAAACGAACATGAAGATGCCAACAACAGTACAGGCTTTCGTCTTTTGGAGTTTCCCAGCCTGCAGCAGCTCCCGAACACGCACAACGCAAACCTGCATTCTCGACAACGGGGAACTTTGAAATTAATACCAGCAGCGTTAAGCCTTTGTGCTAAACATACTGTAACGAAAACTTACAGATGGCTAATGCAAACGTCCATACCTTTACACTTTACACGTTGGAGGCAGCAGGGCTGACATCTCGTTCGCTCGCTAGAGGTAGCATAGATGGCGTAGCAGTTGCCATCGATCTCTAGTTCATCGTCAGGTAAAGAGAAAAGAACCTGCACCTGCAGTGTTGCGAGCTGCCCGGTATAGACTGCTGATGCAGCCGAGAAACAAATCCTTCTTGGGATTGATGACCAGGCGCAGTGATCAGCAGCTCGATCTTAATGGGCGCAGCGAAATTTGGGATGTGCAATTACAGTGCCGTATTGCTCAACTCATGAGGCTCCAACCAAGGTTTGCAGCAATGTGTAAGCTGTGGTGGGCTACATGCATCCCGCCTTTGCTTTGAAGGTTCCGGCTTGCCGGGTCTCTTCCGAGTGATCCCCTGAACACAGCAAAACTGTCGTGGCAGATTGGTTGCTTCTTCGGGTGCTCTGCTCTGGACATCGCTTGCAACGACTGTATCTTCAAAGCCAAAGTGCAGAACTGGATGCTGTTTCTTTCCTTCAACTTTCTCCGAAAGGCCCCTGAACGAGACAGCTGCGTATCAACTCTCAGCCTGGACATATGAGGGGCACTGCAGTGTCGGAGAGATTCACCGCCTGCCCGTTGGCACATGAAAGCAATGCTGCTCTGCCAGAATCACATCACTTTTCATCTAGCAAGCACAACCCACTTCTAGCACCCACCATTCAGCAATGGATACTCGGTGTGCCGATCTCACACAACCAAGAAATTGGTCTGTATGGGTGGTGTGTTAGCCGCCTTGACTGCGGCCACCGTCTGGGCTTCGCCCATGAGGTCATCCTGACCTGGCAGTTTGTTATCTTTGATCGTGGCCTCCTGGCTTTGAGCAGTCCCCGCAGTTTTGTGTACAAGGTGCTCCGTAACTTGTGGAACAAAGACACAGGCAAGTCTAGAACCGCGTAAGGTGCAGCCGGTGTCGCTCAAGAGGTCGCGATCCCAAAGAGTGACGGTCAGATGCTGCTCCTGAGTTTCTAAGTGCGATTGTCGAAAGCACAATCTCGGCTTCTGAGATTCTTGCCTGATTGCGAGATCAGCGAGCAGCGACTGTTGAACATGGTGTTCCGGGAGCGAAATTGCCCTGTTGCAACTTCGCGTGTCCAACGACGGCAAGGCGCAGGGTCATAGATCACGAAGTTGAAGCTCTCCGCCTCGAGGTTGCAGCGAACTCTTGTCGGATCACACTTCAAACGTAGCAGTGGCAGCATCGTATCGCCCATGCCACTATGGCCACTACCAGCTGTTCGAGACTGAAACCATGAAAATTACATGCAACGCAATGCTTTAAGTCTCTACCAGTCAGCGCTGCTTGCCCTGGTCAACCACGCAAAACACACGCTCTCTTTCGTAACTGGGCTCCAAACACCTGTGGCGCGAAAATCCGGTTGCCAAACTTGGTTCCCGATTTTCCTTGTCGGCAAGTTCACGCAGAATACATGTCAGTTGTGCAAACCCTAGTTGGAAGCTACAAACATTTTGGGCAACAACAACAGCACACAAGCTCGTGCAAGCATCAATCAAACGAAGTATCATCTCGAAAATTGCAGACAAGACTCCACCTCATGTACGGCTCTGTTTCAATGCCCATGACTTGGCCTAGGCGGTCCCCGATCGACAGGCACAACATATGCTTGTAATTTTTAACCAGTTTAACCTTTCAGACACATATACCCAGGAATATTTTACGACACAAGCAGACACAGCGAACGAGGGAAGGTCGCGTACCTGTACCGAGCACTCGCAGCCTCGAAAGCTGCACAAAAGCGATCCGGAGGTCGAAAGTCAGGACCTGCAGCTGCTCCGCTTCCGCACGGGCGGGTTGCGGGCTGATCTCGGACTCGGTCACAGTACCGAGACATGTCACCAACGGTCGGTAACCTCGGAAAACTCGCCTGATCGGGGGAGCATGACCCACTTCTGCCTTGGCCGACCAAATATGCGGCCTTGTCTTCGATTGCGCGGCCGTGTCGGGATTCTTCGGTCCTTTTCGCTGGGCGGTCCGCTAATATCGGGGCATAACGGGCATAGAATTCCCCATCAATCTCGATCGCAGGGCACGGATAACAACTTTGAGCGGCGAAGTTCGGCGTCCGCGAAATCAACATGGCGAGTGGAGGCATTGGTCGCTGCTAGAATGGCCGCCATGGATTTTCGATCACCAGTCTGATCACTCAGGTCCCATTTCAACAGCGCTGGTGGACTAATATAACCATATACATATGTGTGTGTGAATGAACTTGCGTGTAAGCATGCATGTATGATCTGTGCATGAATATATGCAGACGTACCTACCTACCTACCTACCTACCTACCTACCTACCTACCTACCTACCTACCTACCTACCTACCTACCTACCTCTCTACCCTACCCTACCCTACCCTACCCTACCCTACCCTACCCTACCCTACCCTACCCTACCTACCTACCTACCTACATACATACATACAGACATACAGACAGACAGACAGACAGACAGACAGACTGACTGACAGACAGACAGACATCGCTTTCGCTTTCGTAGGCAATGGGTCCCAGTCGGGCGCAGCCTATGCATGCATTAATTTAAAAGGTGAAACGTGAAACAAAGGAAACCGATCCCTGAAAATGTGCAAGGACCTCAGTCTCCCCATGACGCGAGGTAACAGGAGCCGCCCGTTTGACAGCAGCCAGTCCAGAGCAGTCGATGGGGGTCGTGATTAGGAAAGCAGTGCGTCCCTGTGCCCACAGGTACAGAGCTCCTCGCACCAGGTCAGCCAATAGCCTCAGCCTTCCCAGCCGAGGGGCCAGCGCTTTGTAGTGGCTTCACCAAGGGCGGCACTAGTAAACTCGTCACAAGGTGCGAGATGCAAAGGCCGATGACACAACCGGGCTGCTCCGAAATCCATGAGCTGAAATCAATCACCCGAGGAGACTGAATGCACTGGTCATGACTGAGGAAGTGGACCCGTTTACAAAGCTTGCTACCCAGTAGTCGGCGGTCAGCAGCAACAACCCTGAGCCCCAAGTCAAGGATCTCACAACAGGCAGGAAGGAACAGCGAATCGAAGGAGAGCCAAGGCAAGAGGACCGCACTATCCCGGAAGGTATGGGAAGGCCTCGAAGGCCCCGAGGTGTCCGGGACCAACCATTCCGGAAAATCAACATGGCACAGCCAGTCGGCGACCTTTCCATGCCATGCAGCCCATTGTACCGGAACCTCTTCGTCGGACGTAAGCTCCTCCGAAAGCATGGCCTGCCAAGCTCGGGCTGTAGCCCGCAGGCGTGACTTCTGAAGGCAAACTCCCAAAAGACCGACCGTATTGCCGCAACCAGCCCCGACATCTCAGTATACAACGAGGGCTGACAGAAAACCTCCGTGAGCCCTCAAGGATGATGAAAATCGAAACGCCGCCGCCCACAACCATGAGGGGGGACAAGACGGCAAAAACGAAAGCGGATCCTTAGCTGAGGCCAGAAGGCCTAAAACACGTCCTTAGCAGAGCAAGCCCTAGCCAGCAGAGGAGACCCACCGCAGAGACCCCTAAAGAACATCAAGAGCATCAGAGCAAGCCGAAGCGACAAGTGCCAGAGGCATCAGCTGTCGTATCGAAGCTTCAAGTCTCGTTCCCTAACTTCACCGAGGAAGGCGAGCACACGACGATTGTGATCGGCATGCCCTCCTCCAGCAGGCCAACCTAACAGTCTCTGCGCCTCAGTCAAAGGCCGGAGACCTAGAGGACGAGAGACTCCCTGACAATGCCACCAAACGTGCTCCTTAGACGGAATACTGCAGACATCGCAGTAAGGACACGGCGCAATGCCGACACCGGACATTTGAGAAAACCGAGCATGCGACACGTACGCACCTGACAGAATCGCCAGGTTGTGCCTACTACCGGAAGCAAGAGACCTTGCCCGCTTAAGGCATTGCTCATCGTAGTTGATGAACACAGCATTTCTCCTCGACGAGCTAGAGTGCAGCTCTAACATTCTGCGTCTCCAAGCCTCGCGGATGACATGTTTGGCAGACTGAAGCCTGCCCTGAAGATCACCTTCAAAGGACACATCACCCCTGCCCGTCCAGACAAAAGGTCTCACGACCGAAAAGCCGAGATCAGACATGAAAGCGCGGAGACGAGCGACCGCCAAACTGAAGTCCCACCCTTGCAGAGACAGACCCCCTTTCTGGACGCCACGCCAAAACGCCGCGAAAGCCGCCACGCCAGACATGAAAGACAAGTCCGAGGCATGGCCCGACAAGACTTTCAACAGGGGGACGGACGCCTGACGTAACCCTACACCCAGAGCCCGCCAGGCAGCCTCAAGCCTGCGCGTGTGAGTCTTGGGAGGAGAAGACAGAAGCCAACCCCAAGACGCGACAGCCGCCGACGTACAAGAAATCAGAAAGGCTTTGCTCCTTAGCTGCAGCGGAAGCGCTTTACTCCTTGCAGCCACGACGTGAGCGGCCTCCATTCTCTTCTTTTCCTTAGCACTCATCTTGCATCCTGGCTTGCCCCTAAGGGTGACCCCGAGTACCGTGAACTCGTGATTCACCTGAGGCTCGCAAAACGTATTGCGCAACCTCCTTCGACCAGAGCCGGTCACATGAAAGAACTGAGCCTTAGCAATGTTCTCTTTGAAGCCTAGCTTGGTAGACTCCCGATTCCAGAAATTCCAAACAGTCTCACACTCCGAGGGGTTACTCGCTGCCCAAGATCTGTCGTCGACATAAATGAGTTGCGTGAGCCCAGGGTACTCCTGTTGAAGCTTCATAGCGGGAAGTCTAAAGGTGAGGCTCAAAGCCAGAACCGAAAACGCATCGCCTTGCGGCAAGGAAGAGCCGGCCGGCTGAACATCCTCAGAACAAAGGCCCTGCCACGAAATGACCCTTCTCTGATCAGTCCAAAGGAGCCTAAGACCCTCGACAATGGCTTTAGGCAGTCCAGTGTGTTCCATGACTGCTGCGGCCCGCGAAGGGCGCAGGTGATCAAAAGCCTTGGTGTAGTCCAAAGTGCCCAGGAAGGCTCCTTCCGAAGCTCTGCGCTCCAAGGAGAGCACAGCAGCAACGATGTCTTGACACTTTCTGCCCCCGACCACATACGGTGGCAAGACTCTTTCGATCCACTGCCTAGCATCTTGGCTCTTAATGCGCGCGCTGCCCCAAATCCGGAACCACAAAGGGCCACGCAGATAGGTCTCAGCTTAGAGGCTTTCAGGGACTGGCCACTCTCAGACTCCTTAGGGATGTGTCACCGCCGCATGAGAGCCCACTTTCTAGGAAAACGTCCACCCTTCTCCATGATCTCAAAGATGCACTCCAAGAGAACCCAGAGCTCAAGTGGAAAAGAAAGTAACTCACTTGAGGCCCAACCATCAAGGCCTCCCGCCTTGTTGCGCTGCTTGCGTGCAGCCGCAGCGAGCTCGGTGGCCTTAACTGGGCTCCACACCACCTCCTGACGTGGAGGCCCGTACACGCGAAGATACTCCTCAACAGGGGTTCCCCCCTCAGCAGAGCGATCCCAGATCCTGCGCCAAAAACTGGTGATTTTCTGAAGGGCCTCGTCAGGGCCCAAGCTAGGGTCTTGACCACCTTCAACCTCATCATCAAGCACACAGTGAGTAACCGGAGCTTTGCGCCCTTTAAGCCACTTAAAAGCCTACCTATCTTCGCGGAGCCTGGTCTTCCAAGCAGACAGACGACATCTCTTAACGCGAGCCTCTTCTTGCAAAATGCGTTGGTACAAAGCCTCAGACGTGAGGCCAGGCTGCCACTCACTGCACCGACGAATCTTGGCTTCAAAGCTACGCCACTCACGACGCGAGCACGTACTAGACAGTCTTTCCCTTTCCCTCAAACGAGCATGGAGATTCCTCATGACTCTAAGCCTGTTGGCCTCGTTATCACGATAAGAGCAGTTAGCGTGATGAGTACGCCTCCTCCACCTAACCGGGAGGCCCTTAGTCCTAGCAAAGGAGCACTTAAGACTAGGAAAGGACATGCCTTGCTGCTTACCGACAGAGGCAGCGCGCCACAGAAGTCTCTCCAAACTGCCCTCAAGCTCATCCCAAAGATCGTCAACAGCACTCTGAAGGGACTCCCCTCTCAACGCCCTAATACCTTCCCAAGCACGAGTGATGCCTTCAACATCCATACAGTTCCTCCACTGTTCAGCAACGAGGGCACAGAAGCGGTTCAAGGATACCCGAGTCGGGCCTTTCAGCCTCTGGAACAAATCCTTCTCCTGACCATTGAAGTGCCGGTCCGCTGGCGGTAACAGCAGGGAGCAAGGAATCACGACCATCGCAGAAGCCTCTACTGCCCCTGGAGTGTTCCAAGTGGTTGCTCAGTCGGAAGGTCGTGGCAAAATGCCGCAAGCAAACTTGGCACTGCGTGCCCTGGGCCACTTGTCGAGCATCTCGGACCCTACTATGTCTCTTGAAGGCATGATGACTCCAGCATCTCAAATCCGGAAATCGCTGCTGGCAAATTGCACAGACCTCCGACGAGTCCGGGGCGATGTCAACTTCATCGCTGACGACAGCACCTTTGGACAGGAAGTAGCGTAAAAGCAACCCATGATAGTGCTGCACCTCAGCTTCCCACAGCTCAGTGAGCAGCGCAGTCTGCTGTGCCACTCGCACCCATTTCTTCCAAGTTACTGGACTGTCCAGCAGCACCCCGCACATGTTGGACCACGTTTGAAGCTGAGGCTGGCACTTGCCAGCACGCTCAAGCATGTTGCACAGCCAATCGATTGACTGCAATACAATTGCTCCCCACGTGGCACCGTGATGAACAATGGCCCAAAAGTCCCTGGGGGCGACTCGCACAGCAACTGCAAGGTGTCGAAGACGTTCCACGTGCAGAAGGGTGGCTGCTGATGGTATGCGAGCGACCGCCAAGATTTTGCGAGCCCCCAAGTGACAAGCAGCCTCAAAGTGATAGGTGGGCCGCAACATTTGTCTGGCCATTGAGACAAGAACCCCCTGCACCTTGTCCATTACTTCACCCTCTGCGACAGGCCAAGTGCCCGCCCCATACATAAGGCAGGAAAGAACAAGCGAGTGGAACAATAACGCCTTCTCCCGGTGTGTCACAATGGGAGAAGAAAAGACCATGCACCTGTGTTTCCTGAAAGC